ATGTTCTTTCAGAAACGTAAGCCATATATATAGCAACCGGAAAATCTTCAAGAATGATCGTGCGGGATCGTTCGGGACAGCGCACGGTCCAATACTTAGAGAATATTGGACCGGCAATCGAGCAATCTCATTGGTTTATTTTAGTCGTTGGCCCTCTGAACTTACTTAGTCGTGTTATAAGGAAGAGTATCACCAGAACCTGTAATGATTTAAGGGACGTACTTTACGCGTAATGTATCTTTTCATCGTAGCTAGCTTTTGGTAATCTCTTGGTAATGTTTTGCTACCTTTGTAAACTATTGTTTCGAGGCCTCCCTCTTCCAGGAACAAACTGATTGTAAAGCAGTATTTCAAAACGAGTTGCTAAAGTTGAATGACTTCATTTCAGAAACAAGAACTGTGTGTTAGGTAGGATGGAAGGAGCTGGGGCTGTTCTGAAATTTTGAACGCGTACATGCAACAAACTTAAAACGTAGGAGAGTGCAAGGTTTGATTTGCACGTCAAATTTGGCAAGGACATATAATTGCTGTGGTCATTAAGTTTTAAGTGGACGTAAAATTTTTTTAGTGGATGTCGAGTTTTATATGGACATTAATTTTATCTGGGGTCATGTTTTGAGCAGGCGACGAATTTTTTGTCTACGTCGAAGTTTGGGAGTTCAGTTTAGTGTGAAAATCGAATTCGGTGTAACTTCCAGTTTGTGTCGGCATCAACTTGAACTATAAAAACGGTGGTATCGCAGGTAACACGGAAAATTACTATTTGTGATAAAAAAAGATACGTCTATACTGCAATTAACACATGATCTAAAATTGAAGATTTAACGTTGTGTGTTTTTGACGCCTCTCCTTCTTCTGAGCCAGAAGAAGAAGAAGAAGACGACGACGACGACGACGACGACTAACTAGCTAATTGCTGGTCCGGTTACCATCTGTAATTTTTGCGATGTTGTAATGAGCAAGGCCGGGGACTCAAAATTATTGACTCAAATGACAAAAAAACACCCTTACACAACAACTTCAATTTTTTATCAAACCAGCGTTTATTGCAAGCCCACAATAATTTCTGCATTACAGAAATGGTTCCTTATTACACCCATCTAAATTCTATCCCCCGCAGACTTACTAGTTATGGTAATATCTTCTTCATCTAAGAAACAAAAAACAAAAAGAAAGCCCCTTAGCTCAATCACATTGTTTCGTCAATCCGGTAAAAAGTAGATTGTTGGGCTTAACTTGAGCTAGGGATATGTAATTAAAGCGAGTTATTTTAAGACACTAAATCTCTGAAGTCTTCTCACAAAATGTTAGAATATAAAGCAAATTAATAGGTCAAAAGAATGCTTCTTTTACATCATCTCAGTATACTTCAAGAAATATATATCAAACACGAGAGACAGTTTTTCATCGGGATATCCAAACACAGAGAAGAGAGTTTTTTTTTCTTTTCACGATACAACTACGACGTCAAGTTCTTGCAATTTAAAAACCTCCCAGGCTTCTACAGAGAAGGGAGTTGAAGTTCGAAATTCGAGGTGTTTGGATAGACGATAAACACTGTCTCGAGTGTTCGATATATCTTCTCAATCGAAACAAAAACTAAGGAGTTAACGGAGGGGTAAAATCGNTGCAACCTTGCCTGGATTGCAGCGTGATTTGAATCCCACTCAGAAGAGGCGGTGATTTGAGCATCTTTGATGAGACGCATTTCCATGCCTAGAGATGCTGTACATGGCGCTGCGGTGCACAACACAAAACATAAGTTAACCTTAAAAGAAATAAACAAACGAACAAACAAACAAACAAAACAAAAGAGTTAACATCGAACTACTCATCCTTTCAATCTCACAGCTCCCCACCAAAAATACTGAGCTTTTCTAGTTAGCAGTCTGAGAAAAATATAGCCTTTCCAGATTAAAAGACTCTTTTGAAAAAATATTTTTGCCTTTGATTTTGTTAGGCTACGCTCTAATGCTTGTAATGTTTAGTTGAGAACTTCAAAATTTGGCTTCTTCTTCCCCGACTGTTGCCATGCTCTTTACTTGTATGTAACTAAAGGCGTTTTCAGATAAAACTTCACGTCCAAAACTAAACTCAAACCTTACCTCTTTGAAACAAAAAAAATTGGTTTGGATCATGACTCCAACTCGAGTTCCCTTTTTACATTAATAGTACGGATGCCAATAATTTGGAGGTTAGAGAAGAATTTTAAACAAAGATAAGACCAACTTTCAGTACTAGGAAATACAACACACGTCACTCTTAAGCAATCAGATATTATCTTAAGGTGTTCCACTCAGCTGAAAAAAGTTGCAAGTAATCAGATTATAATCATACCTAAACAACCATACAGTTCCATCCTCAGTGAAATATGACCGTACCACGCTGTTGGCCTGAGTCTGATGTAGCTTGTTTGGATTGGCGGGTTTAAGTTGTGGTGAACAATGCTGTCTCTGTCCTTATTTCCACTAAATACCTAATCATTAGCATCAACAGATCTACAGTAAAGCTTCTCATAAGAGAAATAAAACTAAATTAGTTTACCTGTAAAATGGTCGCCATGAATGCCTGCAGCAATTTAAAATTCTCAGATTGGTATGGTTTTACCTTTCGCGATCTCTGGCCTG